TTTATTCCAGATGAATTTTTGGAGAGTTTGTTCTAGATCTTTGAAATATGCCATTGGTATTTAAATGGGAATTGCTTGAATCTGTAGATTGCTTTGGGTAGTATGGACATTTTAATGATGTTGATTCTACCAATCCATGAACATGGTGTGTTCTTCCATTTGTTTATGTCTTCCTCTATCACTTTTTTCAATGTCCTATAGTTTTCCGAGTAAGGTCTTACCTCCTTCGTTAAGTTTACTCCTAGGTATCTTAATTTTTTGTATGCAATGGTAAATGGGATTCTTTTTTTCGTTTCTCTTTCTGTGAGTTCATTATTGGTGTATAAAAAGGCCATAGATTTCTGAGTGTTAATTTTGTATCCTGCTACATTGCTGAATTCATTTATTAGGTCTAGTAGTTTTTTTATGGAGTCTTCGGGGTTTTCCAGAGGGTCTGATTTTTCATTGGTCTGGGGTGCAGCCTGGGCAAAGGGATTTTTTTTTTAAAACATTTCCAAAGTGGTGCAACCAATTTTAGAACCACTTGATCTCATTAATCATTAAATCTCTTAATTTTAAAACTTGGGGAACTGAGGCACAGAGAAATAAGCCACTGGCCCAAAGCCACTTAGTGAGTTAGAAAGAACTCTAGGACTAAAATTCAGGCTTCCAGACTACTCATCTCCTTCATACATTATTTGTTAAGTGTAATTTTACACACTCCATGCTGATTCTTCCTGTCCTTGCCTTTAATGATGATTGTGCCCTGGCATCAGACACTGATTGTGCCCTGGCATCAGACACTGATGATGTTTTGCTTTCTTCTGTCACCACCAGAGGAGATGAGAGATGAGGAGGTCCACACCATCCCTCCCGAGTTACGGATCCTGCTGGACCCTGGAAACCTGGACAACCCACCCATCCGGGGAGGGAGAGGCCAGAGTGGAGGTTTCCCCTTTCCTTTCCTGGACATCCCCAGGAAAGGCCAGAAGGAAGGGGGAGAAGATGGGTTCCCGCAGCCAAAGGACCCTGTCATCCCCGGCTTACGACTGTTTCCTGGTCCCAGAGAGCCTGAGGAGGTGCAGGGCAGCATGGATGTTGCCCTGTCAGTCAAATGTGACAATGAGAAGATGACCGTGGCTGTAGAAAAGGATTCTTTTCAGGTCAGTGCAGTTCCTTAAAGGAGGGAAGAGAAGGCCACTTTCCCCACATCTCGCCCCCAGTATGTGTTAGTTCTTTCTCTCCAGCTCTTTCACTTCGGGACTCCAGAGGCTCCATACTGTTTTCTCAGTTGGACAGGCTCACTTCCCCTCTGCTGCGATTCTCACCCGGTTTCTGTTGTTCTCAGCAAGGGGGGTTCCAGATCCTTGTGTGTCAATATTTTGCTATTGGGTTTCCAAGGCCAACAAACACAATCCTGTTTGAGAGGCGGTTGGTAGGGGGCGGGGGACGCAGGCCTCCAGCAACCTTTACTTGGAAGACCAGGCAAACTGTGAACTGTGTGCTGCAGAACTGCCTGTGGGCCCCCTTTATGTTTTGGTGGTTGTTGTTTCAGTCCAACAGCTACTCGGGGATGGAGCTCACCCTGTTGGATCCTACCTGCAAGGCCAAGATGAATGGCACCCACTTCATTTTGGAGTCTCCCCTGAATGGCTGCGGGACTCGGCACCGGCGGTCCGCCCCGGATGGCGTGGTTTACTTCAACTCCGTGAGTGTCCTCCAGAGCAAAGCCTGGCCCTTGGCCAGAGCTTGCAGGGTGTTACCTTAAAACTAATCTTAAAATTTCTGTGAAAATGAGGAGGAACATGTACCCCAGGCCCGAACCAAGCCAAGTGTCAGTTCTCAACAGAATGAGATGTACTTCGACCCTGGACATTTTTGTTTCATTTGCTTTATTGCTGAATCTGTGGGAGTTGGGAGGCCCTGTTTTCTTGGTTGGAGCATCGGTGGTCCTCTCTTCCATATCCTGGTGAGAAGGGGTTTGCTGGCAAGGTAATTATGACCCGTCTCTCTGACTAAACTGCAGGGTCAAAGGCCTGGTCCTTAGGATGAAATCCAAGCCCTTGGGCTTTGAGTGAGCACATCTACACACTGAGCCAACCAGACCCCGTCCTCTCAAGCCTCATTTGAGTCCTGCCCAGAGTTCTCCCTTCCCCAGAAACAAAAGAGCCAGAAGAGAGAAATCCAGAACGGGCTATTAAGAAATTATTACTTAGTCTCTCTCTCCGCCTCTAAGAAAGACCTAGATGGAAAAAAATCTCATTTCTGAAGTTTCCCGGAGGGAGGTTTTCCAGATCCCCCAGTGATAATCCATTGCAAGCCTTTCTGAAATTGCTCTCGTCAGTGCATCTAAAGCCTTTCAGATTAAACTTATTCTTGCAGAGATGACCCTAGGCAGTAAATATTAAAAGACGGTGACACATGATGTCTCAAAAGAACTTTACTTTTGATGGTAAAATAAGGCTCAAAGATCCCTATGTCCAGCTTTGACACGGTGTGTGTGTTCTTAGCGCCTGTTCCAGCTTTGGCTTGGGACAGGGAGGGAGAGGCTGCTCATTCCCCTTCATTCCACTGCTGATGGATAGACACGCTTGGCCCATCTAGAGAACAGACTGGCGATCAGGTACTCCAGTCACTGTGGCTCATGGGGGCACCGACTCTCCTTGTGAGCCCAAGTTTATCAAGCCTCAGACAAGCTTAGAATGTTTGAGCGGGCCAGAACCCTAAGATGCCATCATTCAACTTCCTCATTTCACAGGTGGGAAATTCAACTCCAGGGAGTTAAGAGACTTGCTTAGGCTTGAGAACCTAGTTAACAACGGAGCCAGGACTGAATCTAGCTTCCCGACCTCTCGTGCACTCATCTTTCCTCAACACCGGGCTAGCCCAGCTGATCTCCCTTTGTTATTGGAATAATTTATGAACCTTTGACCTCTGTGATGAACACCCTCCTGCCAATTCCAACACTAATTTTTGTTGCATTTATCTATTTTTTTCCAGATATAATGAATGGCACATTACTGATGTACTGTACTTAATTTTGGAATTTAAAACGTGTCTAAATTAACACCAATAAGAGGCTATGATAATCTGTATGTTAAATAAAAACTTAAAAAAGGGTCATTTGCTTCAGAAGAGAAAGGTGTATCATGAGCCCTTAAAAACCCTTTCTTCTTATATGTACGTAGTGTGGTGGTGATTATGATGATGAGATGGTGATTCTAGGGTAAGCAGTATCCTAGGTACTTGCTTTAATTGCATCAGTACTTTCTTTTGAGGACCTGGTACAGAACAGAGAGGTGGTTTTCCTACATTCTCTTCCTGTTCTATTGCCTTCAGTGAATATTTTAGCTATTTGTTCCAATTATGATTGTAGTAGTCAAACTTACTATATATTTTTGTTTTGGAACATATTCATAATCTAAGCATGTAAAGCAAAAAATAAAATAAGTAAAACAAAAGGACAGCATGACTCTCCTACATATGCAGAGAAATTATTTATGGAGTCATGGTCCTGAGGTGAATTTTTTCATCTTACCCACAGCTAACCTAGGAATAATCATTTCAGTCAATGCCATGGAATAAAACATAATGTACTTTTGTGCATCTTTACACCATAGAGAAATATATTAGGAAGAAGATGGTGGTGGTGGGGGGGGGTGGGGAATAGAGGAGTACGAGAGAAAAAATGAGGAGAGAATGGCTCAGTAGTAAACATTAAGTCATTTGCTTCTAACTCAAACCAAACTTTTTACAAATCCTGATTGATACAAATAACAAGAGCTCCCTGCATTAGCCAGCTTTTGCTATTTCTTAGAATTTTTAATGTGAAGAGAATTTTTAATATGGAGAGAAGCCCCCTAGTGCAAGCTTTAATATGAAGAGAAGCTCCCCTATCCTACTAGATAGGCAGGTCTATTGATAACGCCATTCAACCCTACTTCAGTGTCTAGTGTTTTCTCACTGTTTGAAATTATTTGTATTTTTTTCACTGAGGAAAATACATATTTTGAACATGAATTGGGTTTCTCTTTATTTTTCGTCTCTTTGAAGAAGAAATCCTAAGCCCACTTGGAGGGTGTGTGTGTGTGTGTGTGTGTGTGTGTGTGTGTGGTTTTCACGCATGCACGTGAAAACCAAGTGTATGTGATTTGGTGTTTTTATGACGTTCTCTGTGGTATCTTTGCCTTTTAGATTGTGATACAGGTTCCGTCCCCTGGGGGTAGTAGTGGTTGGCCAGATGGTTATGAAGATTTGGAGTCTGGGGATAATGGATTTCCAGCAGATTTGGATGAAGGAGATGCTTCCCACTTCAGCCGACCTGAAGTTGTGGTGGTATGTGTTTCTTTGTATTAGGTAGTATGTGGAAGATGTTGTCTTTAGGAACTCTCAGGGGCGGGGGGTGGTGGGGAATTAGATGTTACAGTCCAAAGCTCATAAAGCTGCAGGGCATTTATCCTTTATCCTTCCTTTGACTGATTGTCCTCTGTCTTGTTTTTCCCCCAGTTTAACTGCAGCCTGCGGCATGTGGGGAATCCCAGGAGTTTCCCGGACCCGCCCACCAGAAACATCACCTTCAACATGGAACTGTACAGCACTGACCTCTTTCTGGTGCCCTCCCAGGGCGTCTTCTCGGTGGCGGAGAATGGACACATCTATGTTGAGGTGAGATTACAACATTAGCCTTGGCCTTCAGGTTAGTGCGCAGCTGTAGTAGCTCCTGGGGTGTGAGCTCAATTGCCCTGCTCTTCCTTACAGCCCTTGACCAGCTTTGGGTGAAAATGCTTCCAGCTTGATTTCTGACCAAAGCAGAAAATTTCAGGACTTGCTACCTTATCCTAAATGGAGAGTGTTCTATAGATGAATGTTTTAAAAACGTTGTTTAAAGTGTGAATTCTAATAAAGCCTGTTCTTGCTTAGCATTTTTGGAACAGTAGCTCAGTAGTGGCAGTGTCAGAGTTAACCATGAAATGTTTCAAACCACCTCACATATTATCTTTTAAACTGCACACAAGTGAGTGAAATGCTATGTGCTACTATATCTCATGGAGATTGTCTTTTTTCCCTAGATCATTGTTTAGATGTATCTATAGTTTTATTAAAACTATTTCCTATATACAATGATAATGATCATGCACAGCATAAGTCTGTGGAATGGCTACAAAAATATTAGGTAGTGGTAGTAATAATGAAATAGCAACAGCTAGCATTGACTGTGGATTTATTTTGTGCCAAACTCAGTTATAAATATTGTAATGAACTATTCTTCAAAGCAATCCTCTGAGACAGAACTATTAATATCCCCATTTTGTGGATGAGGACATCGAGGCAAAACTTATCTAAGGTCACACAGGTAGTACCTCTTAGAGTTCAGAGTCAGGACTCACCCCAGAGCCCACACTATTATCCACTGGATGCTACTATCATGTATTCTCAAGTGCCATTTGAAAGGAGAGAAAATGTAACATATTAGCAGTGCAAATATCCAAGTTCTCAGATAGAATTCTAGAGAAGATAACTTTCCTGATGGCCCTAGGATATCTGCTGGTCTTACAGAGGAATCACCCTCTGATGAGCTAGTTCTGGTGCTAAGCTGCAAGCCGTGCTCTGCTTCATGGTGGGGGGAGTGAGAAGCGTAACGGTCAAACGGGATACTTCTATATATTACAGTGACTGCAGTGCACATAATTTCTATTTTAGAAAGACAAATAACTCTTGTACTGATTCTGGGACGGAGCCTGCTGACTCTAGACATTTTCCTGGATCTCCTCTCTGTTTTAATTCCCTGTTTTAAGAGGAATTCTCTTTCTTTGGGTACACCTTCTCTCTCCACTGGGGAAAATATACTGCTTTCGACATGCTGTTCCTAATCATAGATCTCTTCTAATCCAAGATCGCTGTTCCCGTCATGCTTTTCTGGCTGCGCGGTCCATGTGTGCCGTTGGTCCGTGACTCCCTGTTGTGCTATAGATTTTAGAGGCTCTGCTTAACTGCAGTTTGGTTTCCAAATGTGTGCCTGGCTTTGCTAATTTATGGCTCAGCTGCTTTATGCTAATCTGCGGCCAGTCTTCCTCGTGTATCCAACCCTGGGTGTTTGGTTTTTCTCCCTTTCCCTCCAGTGTGGGCCTACTTAAGGTATGGGTTTATTTGTTTTTTATTCATATTTTCCCACATATCTTGTCATATATCATCTATGTTTTTCACAATTAAGTTCTGTCAAAGACATTGTCAAGTGATGAAAAAGAAATGAACCAAATCTTTTGCTATCATTTTAAATATCAAGTACATTGAGGAGAATTTGGGCAGGGGGAAAACACTTTACGCTATTTTATTTTAAAGTTGTTTTAGACCACCTAAATATGAGAGAGGATCTGTAAGTATTTTGCTAAACAGAGTAGCAGTTATGCATATTCTTTGTTTCCCACTTTAGATTTCACTGCTAATAAGAAAATTTAAAAAAAAATTTTCTCTAGAATTTTTTTTCTTAGGATAAATAAAACTTAGTCATAGTCTTGCCTAAAGAACTATTTCCAAGTTTTTTTCTCCTGGCCATCCTTCTTATATCCCCTCTCAGGATCCTCTATTTACTATAGATCATACTCCCTTCTTTTAATCCAAGAATTGATCAGTTTTTCCATCTGGGTTTTGGTCATCTTGAGTGATATTTGGTCACATAATGGCAACTTTTCTTTTGGTTCATTTGAGTTGGGGAATTTAAAAAATTGTAAATAACCCCCCAAATATAAATCTTGAATAACACCACTAGTAATAGCTGGTGTTCCTGGAGTAGCCGGGACCTGTGTTGTTTGCATGTCATTTTGACTTTACACATCCTCACAATGACCAGATCTAGTAGGTAGTCCCCCTCAGTCTGTAGGGAAGGAAACTGAGGCTCAGAGCTCACGTTCATGAGCAGCAGTGCACACGATTTCCTGGGGTTTGTCTCGCTCCAAAGCCCACAGCCCTCCCATATCATTTCCAGTCCATTTTAGAGTAAAAGACTTATTAATAACCTTTTTCCTCCAAAATGACTTTTTGGGATACCTTAGACCAGCGGTTCTCAACCTGCATGTCAGATATTTACATTATGATTCATAACAGTAGCAACATTACAGTTATGAAGTAGCAACGAAAATAAGTTTATGGTTGGGTCACAACATGAGGAACTGTATTTAAAAAGCCAGAAGGTTGAGAACCACTGCCTTAGACATTCTGCCATTTCATATTTCTTTGAGATTAGAGAAAAGATTTACATTTCTTCTGTCACACAGTTTTGCACTGTGGGTCCTAAGTTCATGTTAAAGGAGACTTTTTTAGTTTAAATGGGGTATGTGTAATTTGCTATCTTTTCAAGATAAAATATTTTTCAGGAATATTGCAAAAATAACAACATGACTATTTACAGACTATCAAACACTACTTGCTAGGCATATTTCCTACAAAATGTTCTTCCAAGGCCACTTCTTGAGCCTGGTTGAATTGACCCTGTAGCTACAGTGAAATAGGAAAGAGAAAATGGACTTGTGATCAGAATATTTGGGCTTAAACTTTGGTTATGCCCAGTATTTGCTAGATATGATCTTGACAAGCCATCTGTTCTATATGCTCAGTTTTCCCTCAGTTTATAAAGTGGAGAAGAACATGTTTATCTCGTCAGATTGTTCTGAGGGATTTAGCTTTAAGGCACAACAAAGTGACATAACCGTCATCACCTCCATTGTTGCGTGTCTTGTAGTTAACCATGGAGGGATCTTGCAAAATAGCGCTGTGGACTGAGAGCCCCATGCAGTGCCCTGGGTTTCTCAGAGTGGAAAGTGTGTTTACATCTCCGTGCCTTTTGAAACGATTCTGGAGCTATTGGCCTATGGTTAAGGCCTCACTTTATTTCTAAAGTGTTTAAGTTTATTTTGATTCTAAGTTTAGTCAAGGAATGAAGCATCGAGGGGAGAGGCAGCTCGCACGGCCATCCATGTATCACCAAATGGAGAATCCAGTCTGGTGCAGGGATTTTAGCTGAGTTCAGGATAGTTGAGGTTTGAATTCTGTTTACACTGGGCCAAACATTACTTCCTGTTTCTAAAGAAAAGAACCTTAACAAGGTTTGGACATAGCCCATAGAATGTTTTGAAAGAGGGAAGTGTAAATGAGTCGGAAACGTTTCCAGATTAGATTTCCCTTAAAACACCGTTGGGCTTAAAGAGTGAAGGGAGAGTACTTGGCAAGGCCTGGTTTGGACCTGTGAGCGGCTGGGACACTTGGCCAGGCCCATGATCGCCACCAGCTTGCACCGTAGCTGGCATCCAGCCACAGGGCCAGCTCTGCCTGTCCAGTGACGCAGGACTCTAAATGAATCGGTAGCTTTCCCTGCCATGGTTTAGGCCCACTCTGACTTGTGCAAGTTTAGAAGTCCAGTACTCCCTGCCTACGTTAAGTAGATTCTGCCTCTCTATTTTTTGAGCAATTTTTAAAAAAGAGCTTGCCTTACAAATGCACTGTTATGACATCAGGAGCTTTGCCTGTTGGTGTTTTATTTATTTTGGAAAATCCACTTTGCTTTTATTTTTATCTCCCAGAGGACTTATGGGAGGTTGAAGAGACTTAGTCATTTTGTACTGGAATCTTCCAGGCTGGCGTTGGAACTAAATAATTCACTGTCACCATCCATATCGAGTTTCAATAGAAAATAACTCTTTTTTCAAAGAATGTATATGTTACTTTTACCATTAGAAAGAAGACTATAGATGGATGTTATGGGAATAAAGAAATGTCTCTCATCAGAAGGACTGTGTTGGTGTGTTCCCCTTGTGCCTAAAGTAAAAATGAGATGCTAACTTGCTTCTGTGTCGATCTCGCTGTTCTCCATAGGTGTCTGTTACTAAGGCTGACCAGGAACTGGGATTTGCCATCCAAACGTGCTTTATCTCTCCAAATTCGAACCCCGATCGGATGTCTGATTACACCATCATTGAGAACATTTGCCCCAAAGATGATTCTGTGAAATTCTACAATCCCAAGAGAGTGCTTTCCCGTCC